TCTTTGATTTGTCCTCGATCTGCTGAGTGACTTTATGAACATTTGAAATCAAATCTGATTAATTGACACCATTTAATTGAAGGATTTCATTTTTGTTAGCTTTTAATAATAATAATTTCAATAAAACAAACAAACAAAAGGTTACATTAGATATGAATTGACAACCTTTAAACCATACACATCACTCTTCCTCTCTTCTCAGATGGGATGATATCCAAATCAAAGGTTACTGTGGGCTAACTTTGGTCCTATAGTTCGGGCATCCTCGCTATAGACTAAACAAGTAATATACATTTGCATTTTCACAAATTCATATTTTTGATGAGATGAAACTACATTTACATGGACATAATCTAAATAATTCAAATCTGAATAAGACAATATTTTGATTAAGGTGTTTATACTGTATGAGTTACTTTTTGAACGTTCCTTCTATGATCCAGTTTTACATGTTATAACAAATAATTTGATTAACTTCATTGCTATTCACATTTCCTCCAGAGTTTCATGTAATTTTGGACATTTCATTTTTATTTTTGACTTTAACTGCAGTTTCACTTTCATTCAGGAACATTTCATTTATGCCCCCGCACTTGCTTGACAAACTGAGGTATTGGATGCACGGACAGGTGGAACGTGGAAGAGTGTTGTTTTAATAAAATTTGATACCGCACGTGGAATGGAAAGAAAAAAATCACGATGCAGGTGTCTGTGGTCCTTCACTGACTCAGTAGGTGCAGTTAAAAAACCCTGTGTATATGGAATATCCTGTCGCAAAACATGGTGAAAAGTCCTACATGATGGTAATAGTTTGATGGCAGTGTTTACATGACTGTACTGCTCTTCAATAATGCTACTAAAATTTCGGTTTAGTTTGATTATGACCATAATCAGATTAAATTAATCAAAAATTGCTGTTTACATTGTAGACTCTTAATTAGAGATTAATTGCATTATATCATCCTTAAAATGAGTTTTTCAAATTTATTTTAATCTAAATGACACCTCTGTGTTTAAGGGTTTGGTGGACGTTAAATACTGTGTGGCAGAACCATCCTATGCTCTCAAAACGTCATAAATTATGCAGAAAGTTGAAATTGAATGCGGGGGGTAAACGTACTCCATATTGTGCCCAAATCTAACTCAATCCTTTACTCAACCCTAAAATTTTAAGTGTATAGAGTGGTAAATATTTTTTAATTTCAAAATCATACAAAATATTGTAAGTCATATATTCATTCAGAACTAGGTAGGCTAAATTGACCGTAGTGTACGTGTGTGAATGAGTGAATGGCTGTTTCTCAGTGATGGGTTGCAGCTGCAAGAGCATCCGCTGTGACCCCAGATAAATAAAGAGACTAAGCAGTAAAAATGAGTGAATTCATTCATTTTCTTTTTGGCTTAGTCCCTTTATTAATCAGAGGTCGCCACGGTGGGGTTGCCAACTCATCCTGCATAAATTTTACACAGCGGATGCCCTTCCTGCTGCAACCCATCACTGGGAAACATTCATACACTGTCATTCACACACATACACTCCAGACAATTTAGCTTATCCAATTTACCCATGTCGCGGCAGGCCACAGCACTGCGCCACCACGCCACCCTGAGTCATATATGTGTGTGAAAATTTGTACTGTTAAGCTTATGCTGTATTATCAAAAGAAGCTTACAAGTGTGCATGGGCTCTAGTACCAGTTTTAACCAGTAATCTGCCAGCAACAGCATCAACCAATAAGGATAGGGAAAGTATTTATAATCTGGATGTTAAGAATGTTATTCCAGGAGCACAGACTACTTTGAAAAATCCTGGGGATCTTCCTTCTTATCATTTAATATTTCTTTTGAAGTATACTGTAGCTGTAATATTACATATCAGAAGAATTGACTCCATTTTATTTCATAATGCATTATGATGTTCAGAGATCAATTAGAAACCATTTTGGCACCGCAAAGGGAGGATCTAGTGTAATAAAATTACAGTTCTCCTGGTTCACTAATTTATGCAAAAATATGCAATCTTATTAGATTATGTTTCCTCATATATATGACTGAGGGCATTATGTTGTTGTAGAGGGAAAGGGTGTCTGTTTAATAGAGATTTATATTACGTTTCATTTCATTTATTAAAATCTAGCTGTGGATGCATGTCTGTACATTTATGATGATACAGAAGTGTTTGTCCTTTCAGCACAGTATGCTCTTTGGTACTTGTGTGTAAGCAGAGACTCACCCATTAATTGAGCAGTTATTTAAACACTCTAAACTGTGTGTGTGCTTGTGTGTGTGTGTGTACTGTACTGTGTCATCGGCATGCTGTTCTACAGGAGAGACCAGCCTAGCTTTGAAAGCAATGCTTTTCCCCACTGAAAGTCTGCTCTTACAGGAACTTTGAGAGCTGGTATTCTGCATTATTTTAGGCCTTCCATACTATAAAAGGGCAGTCACAATATGATTTATTCTCAATGCACACATATCTGTTTTCGTATTCTTGATTGGATTATGCAGCTGAGCTCTGGGTTGAACAGATTCATGCACTTGTCTGGGAGCTTACTGATAAACATTTAAGTCACTGTAGCATAGTTATTTTTTAGGTATGCTACATGGGCAACAATATACATCTACTTACCTATCTATCTATCTATCTATCTATCTATCTATCTATCTATCTGTCTGTCTGTCTGTCTGTCTGTCTGTCTGTCTGTCTGTCTGTCTGTCTGTCTGTCTGTCTGTCTGTCTGTCTGTCTGTCTGTCTGTCGGTCGGTCGGTCGGTCGGTCGGTCGGTATCTATCTATCTATCTATCTATCTATCTATCTATCTATCTATCTATCTATCTATCTATCTATCTATCTATCTATCTATCTATCTATATATCTATCTATCTATCTATCTATCTATCTGTCTATCTGTCTGTCTGTCTGTCTGTCTGTCTGTCTGTCTTTTTCACCTGCCTGTCTGTCTGTCTGGTAATCTCTGTAATATTTTACCTCAGATTATCTTTACGTTCCTCCAGTAGGCTAGCAAGTTGTATGCTTGTAATTAGTAGGTGCACAAATAAGGCGCTACCTCAGTCATTTCCAGAGCTTATGTGCAGATGCACTTATAGCCCTTTAGACTTAACAAGTCGAAGGATATCACCGTAAGACACAGTTAGATGTTGCACCAGGTGAAACACTGTAACACTGTATCAGTTGTTGCGGAGCAGCAGCCCTCCAATTAGAGCACGCGCATCTAATGACGTGAACGCGCCCGTGGTCCAAATACTTGAGACAGTTGGAAAGCAGATAGAGAGACAGCCGGAGAAAGAATCACTTGACAGGAGGTTTATCGGTCCAGCGGGGGAGTACGGCCAGCGAGACCACGGTAATTCATCTCGTTTAGGACTCTTTTACATCCTACGGTGCCGAAACGGACACACAATACGGGTTTAAAACGTATCTTGTTGTTGCGATGAATGTTTCATGTGCTCATGCAGGACATCATCTGTGTCTTTCCGCATACATACTGCTGTTCTGTGGTAATGTACAAAATTTACGGATCCGAGCACATCAGCCACAGCGATTCCATAGTTTTACCTGTAAATGCCGTCGTATCTTTCTCAATGCAGTCGCTTCTCGGACGATGGTTTTCGTATCGGCTTTCAAATGGATGAATTACATGCACGCGCATGCATTTAACTTCACCTCGCGCTTTAGATGCTGCATTTGGGTAAATTGAGGTTGTGCTGGTGCATCTGCTGTAGCTGAATTATTTATTAGGCTGTATCTGGGGCTGAAGGAGAGAAACAAACACTAGGCTGTTATGTGAGACTATTTTAACTGAGGCAAAGGAATCAAAGGCTTAACCAACATAAAGTTTGGTTGTGCTCATTTGTGTAAATTTGTTGTGAAATACCATGCGTGCCAAGTGTGTGAAGCAGTGGATTGTTTGCATTAACCCTGCCCCGTAGAACTACACCCACCTGTGATATTCAAGGGACAGATTTGACCTATTTTGAAAATTATTCAAATTAATTATGCAGAATACTCTAAAGAAGATCTAACAGCCTCTTATATTTATTTATTGTTTGTTCTTGGGTGTATTTTAAATGTAAAGTTGTTTTTAATCCTGCATTTAGTAGAGCAACATTATTTTGGGGGATGTGTTTTAAACATTACATTTTAATATTACATTTTAATAACAACTTAAAATATCACATTTTAGCCCTAAAATATCACTTGTTTTATTATGTACTGAAATATTTAATACACCTGATATGTAGGCCTACTATTTATATTAGTATATCCTTTTTGAGTTTTGTTTTTATATTTGACAACTAAATCTTTCACCCACACACCGATTGCTCAAATCAACTAACTTCTCAAAGTCTATTTAAAAGTAATCTTTTAAAATATTATTTCACTTTAAAATTACTGTTACTCTATGTGAATATAATCAATTATCAGCTTCATTGCTTCAGGCTTCTTTCTCAGTATCACATGCCCAGAGATAATTCTAATGTGCAGATCTCTTTGTGAGGTCTTATTGTGATTAATTATTAATTAATATTAACAGGAATGGTTTCTGTTATCAATGTTGAAAACAAAATCACATCATATCTTTTTCTGGAAACCATATCACATGTTATTTGTGAATATTATGTATAAATATCAAAACAAAAGCATTTATTTAACATTTGACATGCCTTTGAAAAATAATCACAATATGCAGCTTTGTACTTATTTCACAAAACATAAAAAACATCTTTCTGTTTCCTAATTCTTGAACTATAAAAGGAATAAACATTATAGTAGCCTATTTATAAGATTTAACATTTTTTTCTAAAGTATTTGCTTATGCAACTTGACAGCAAGTCAAGAACAATAACATTCACGTAAACATTTCATTCGAAATAGTTGCACTGAGGTGAAAACCGCAGAAGATCGATGTTGGGAAACTTGGGTAGGACAGTCGACTGTCCTCCGCGTGAATAATGAATTGAGCTCGTGCACGCCGCTGCGCGTTCCTCATTCATCTCCGTGCGCGTGAGTGAGAGGCAGCAAGCAGGCGGAGTGTGAGTCCTGCTGACACCACAATATTATTCAGAACCTCGACTCATACACATTCAGGATACATTGGGATTATTAACATCTCACCAGTAAGTAGCGCTTTTGAGTCTTTATGATCTTGTGTTTACGGATTTTCCCCAGCGAGTGCTCAAGACGCGTTAAACGCTCAGCGGTTGCGATACGATTCATTTAAAAAGTGGCTTTCTCTTTCTCCAGCGGTGAACCCATCTTCGTTTAGACTTGTTTGCAAGCACGTGTTGTTTTATAAACAGCACGGTTCTTGTTTTGAATGCTGTGAGAAACTGAATCGCGTTGTTTTATTTGTGTCACCGAGGAACGTATATGTTGAAGGTAGTTCGTGCTGCTTGTTTGTTTTGCTATCTTTTTGTAACAGACACCGATAGGGTCGGCTAAGTGAGAGTTGAGAATCATCTTGAAGCAGGTGTCTGTTCAGGCACTTCCGCAGTTTCACACCCCATCCACACTGTACGGGCGATGTGAATGAATCATCATTGTGACTCGGATCTTTTTAACGAGATGATTTGAATCGGTTCAAAGCCTTTGGGAACGAGACATCCGCTGAAACAGATCGAACTGCTCTAGAGTCAACAGCTTAACGACTCATTTGAATGAACCCGTTTATCTCTTTAGGGATTCAAGAGTCATAAGTTGGACAAGGCAGTGTCTGCGGACGTTTTTAATATTTCTGCGCAAAATTTTTTACAGATTCTGTTTATGTCGAATGCTTTTGATAGTGTAACAACTAAAAGCTTAACACATACATAAAAATAACATTTGTTTATGGTTTATAATGCAAATGCAGTTTGATCCACTTGTTTGGTAAACAAAATAAGTCTCTCAAATTTTATTGTATATATCTACTAAAAGACTAAATATATTACTTTACAAACTGGATTGTAAATAAATCATATAAACAATACCATATTATTCAGTAATATTACTGAAATGAACATAAAACTCAATAAATATAAATGTACACACATTCACACAAGTAAAGAAATAGATTGAAGGATAGTCACAAAAATCTGCACGTGCAGGTTTCATGGCCGCCTATAAGGAAGCTACTGTAGAACCGATGAGTAAAGCTGAACATTAGACAAATAATAAAAAAAGGAACTGGGTGATGAAGCGAATGGTTACTTTAAAGAGAGGGTTTAATTTTATTTACCCTCAGTTGGTTTCAGTTCTTTCTTCTGTTAAACACAAAAGAAGATATTTTAAAGAATGATGGAAACCAATAATATTGATATCCATAGTATAGGAAAAATAGTAATGCGAAAGTTCATGGCTACTGGGTTTCCAATATCATCTTTTGTGATCAAAAGAAAAAAGAAATTATCCCAGTGAGTCAGTGATGACAGAATTTACATTTTAGTGTAAACTGTCTCTTTAACAGATGGAAGCTCTTGTGGGAACTACACTTGTTTGGTTAGAATATTCTCAAAAATATACTATTGATGTTTTTCTTAAAGTATTTACCATGGTAGCCACAGAATTCCCACAGACATGAACAACTTTGAACTACAGTGAGGCTTGGAGAAAAAATGTACTAATACAAACATTAAATAGTAAACATTTTAGATGTAATTATGCAAAGCATTTAAAAAATCTAGTGTGTGCTACAAAACACCGTTTTTAATTATAAAAACTTTCAGCATGTTTGGCTTTTGAAGAAATTTTAAAACATGTTTCAGCTGGCATTTTTAAAAATAAATGTTTGTCTCTGTTTAGTTTATGAAATGCTATTTTGTAAACATGTTCAGTCTACTGGCATTCTCTAGTTCTTGACAGCCTAAATAACAATTGTGGATTATATACTGTGTTTATTTACAAAGCGATTTAATTACAGTCTTTCCTGTCATTTTTGCAGATTCATGTGGATTGTTTTTACATGTCATTTATTCAAAAATGCAAAAAGAACAAATTTTTTATCACTTGCAGACAGTAGAGCTGGGCGATATGCAAAAAAAGTTGTTAAAGCTTTCAGATTTAAAAGTGTACCCCAACAATGGCTGAAGCCACAAAAATTTGAGGGTCTATTAAATGGCACAACATTTTCGGCCGACATATGTTTGGTGGCTGGAAATTCGGTACACCTCTAATATCAACACTTTTATATTCCCATTGTGGCACATTTCTGCTGTGTGATTGGCTCCTGGATCAATATAGAGTAAAAAAGACCAGCGTTTATCATTGTTATTGACATACATTTTGTAATATAATTTATTGGCCCATTCCTAACTTGCAGTACATTATTAATGTGTAAACATACCTTCAATTAGAGACAAATTATCAACATGATATAATGAGTAATAAAAATATTAATAATAATAATAATAATTATTATTATTATTATATTCATTAATATGTCTATTATTATTATTATTATTATTATTATTATTATTATTATTACTATTATTATTATTATTATTAATAATTAAAATTATATTTTCTTTAGTTATGAATAATTATAAAATCTTGTGAAATTGAGAATTCATGGTACTTAACTAGCTAAAATTGTGCTATAAAAAATGTAGACCGAACGTTGGGTTAAATTTTCTTTTAAATATTTACGCTGAGTTTGTTCATACCATTTTTGAGAGTGTAGTATATTAAATTTACAACCTGCCTATCAAACCTCTACTGAATGAATATTTTTGTAAAAGTAACTATGGAAACGTATTGGTTAAAGTGTACATAAATAAATCTTCCTTCAAAAGTTAACTTGTTACACAAGTATGATGAAGTGATGTTACGTTTGACTTCATCCAAGATCATGTAAGTGTGTAATCTGTACCATCCTGAATATCCACTGGTTTTTCACAAGAACAAAGAGCATAAATATTTTGTTTCCTTGTATGATCAGCTCACACATCGCTTCCGTCTCACACAGACACACAACTCTCTCTCAGCGACACACACACACACACTGCTGTGAAACCCAGCATCTGAAATGCTTTGGAAATTGCTTGGCACATTGGCTGAAAATAGCTGGTGGCTATCACATATTGCCTCAGGTTGAAATGCGAAAGATTTCACTTGTTTGTAGAGACCAAAATCTCTTGAGAAAGAGACAAGTTGAAACTTATTTATTTTTCATTTCTTTTTATGTCCAAGCTGTCTGTGCTAAAACAAAACTATGGAAACGGGGATATAAACTGTGTGTGTTGCTCCGTGCTTAATGTGCATTGTGTTGATCATGCAATGTTGGTAATCTACCTTATTTTGCAGTGAGGAAGTTATTTTAGTGTGATCTGCACTTTCGTTCTGATTCATTAGAAGAAAAGCAAAAGCGTGAAAGTGCCGAAAAAAAAAAAAATCATACAGTTAAGATTATAATAAATACCAGCTTGTATAGGTTTAATTCTAATGCTACACAAATTGGTGGAATTGTCAGGTAAAATGGACAAATTTTAAAGATGAGATTTGGTTTTATTAAAAAAAAAAAAAAATAGAGTTTTTCTATAAATATCAAAGTTATAGAATTAAGGATGTAATGTCAGATTTTACAGTGCAGATTAAATAATTAATGGTATTTACAGTTGAACACAGAATATTAAAACTCAGATTTTTTTTCTTTTTTAAAATATATATTTTTATTTCGGCTAAAATAAAAGCAGTTTTTATTTTTTAACACAATTTTGAGGACAATATTATTAGCCCCTTTAAGCTATATATTTTTTGATAGTCTACAGAACAAATCATTGTTGTACAATAACTTGCCTAATTTACCTGCCTAATTAACCTAGTTAAGCCTTTAAATGTCACTTTAAGCTGTATAGAAATGTCTTGAAAAATATCTAGTGAAATATTATTTACTGTCATCATGGCAAAGATCAAATAGATCAGTTATTAGAAACTAGTTAAACCATGATATTGTCATCCAAGGTTTTTAAAATGTCAGATTCTTATACCGGTGACGGTCCATGCTTAATTGTGAGATAAAATTAAGACGACTATTTGAAAAGGATTTATTGGGATGATTTTAAAAGTGGCGACGTAGTGGCACAGTTGGTAGTGCTGTCGCTTCACAGCAAGAAGGTCGCTGGGTTGTTGGTTTTAACCTCGGCTGGGTCAGTTGGCGTTTCTGTGTGGAGTTTGTATGTTCTCCCTGCTTTTGCGTGGGTTTCCCCCGGGTGCTCCGGTTTCCCACACAGTCCAAAGACATGCGGAACAGGTGAATTGGGTAGGCTAAATTGTCCGTAGTGTGTGTGGATGGATGGCTAGAAGGGCAAGTGTAAAAACGTGCTGGATAAGTTGGCGGTTCATTCCGCTGTGGCAACCCCGGATTAATAAAATTAGTAGGCCGAAAAGAAAAAGAATGAATGAATGAATGAATGATTTTGAAGAGATTTTGACCATGCATCTATAAAATATATAATATATAAATCACAAAAATTGAGAAATGCAGTAGAGCAACAATACTGTACAAATCAAATATACAATGCTTTTCTGAAAGTCTTATTATTTAGATACACAAATTTAATAATCAAATGTAAAATAACACCATATAGTCTTTTATGCAATTTCTTTTGCCTGAATTTTTTAAACTGAATTAAATTATGCAAACACACATAAATGGCGACGCAGTGGCACAGTAGGTAGTGCTGTCACCTCACAGCAAGAAGGTCGCTGGTTCGAGCCTCGGCTGGGTCAGTTGGCGTTTCTGTGTGGAGTTTGCATGTTCTCCCTGCGTTCGCGTGGGTTTCCTCCGGGTGCTCCGGTTTCCCCCACAGTCCAAAGACATGTGGTACAGGTGAATTGGGTAGGCTAAAATTGTCCGTGGTGTATGAGTGTGAATGAGTGTGTGTGGATGTTTCCCAGAGATGAACTGCGGCTGGAAGGCCATCCGTTGCGTAAAAACGTGCTGGATAAGTTGGTGGTTCATTCTGCTGTGGCGACCCCGAATTTATAAAGGGACTAAGCCAAAAAGAAAATGAATGAGTGAATGAATGAGACACACATAAATAATCAATGTTTTGGTAGGTTTATGGTTAAACGTTGCTAAAACTCCACTTATTCTGAGATAAGTGAAATCTCAGTGAGATCATAAAATGTGTTTTTCAAA